TGCAGAATATTCTAAAGTGTCTGTCATATAAATGCATATTAGAAATAGAACAAGTGATGCAACACACTGCATTTTCTGGAAGAAAAAGCCAGAAAATTTGGAGTGTTTCCTAAACCCTAACTATGAAATGTCTTAAACATGTTTCTCTTTCCTTTCCAGCAGTTCCTCCACTGAGCACAAATAGTGTATCTCCATCTGTTACATTGCTGGCCAACAATCTTACAGTACCCCAAAGTGACTTGCCGCCAGGTGCTTCCCCAAGGAAAAAACCACGTAAGCAGCAACACATCATCTCTACAGAGGAAGGGGATATGATGGAGACGAATAGCACGGATGATGAGAAATCCACTACCAAAAGCTTGCTGATAAAGGCAGAAAAGCGCAAATCACCTCCAAAAGAATATATAGGTGATTATTTGAATTCAGAAAGGAAACTTTTAATTCCTAGTTAGTCATCTCTCAAAACCGTATCTATTCAGCCACCCAAATACCACATTTCAGGAGAAGGGGAACAGGAAGAACTTCTTTATTTCCAAAAACAAATTAAATATTTTCCCCAGATTAATGCTAGAATTATCATTAAACAAAGCAGAACTCACCTCTGCTTTAAAAGTCAGTCATAGGATTACATTCATTTTTTGTAGTTCATAATACAAACTTCTCAGTGAAGCCTGAATAGTTATTCTTAAATTTTTTTTAGATGAAGAAGGAGTGAGGTATGTGCCTGTACGTCCAAGACCACCCATAACTCTGCTCCGTCACTATCGCAATCCATGGAAAGCAGCCTATCATCATTTCCAGCGATACAGTGATGTCAGAGTAAAAGGTATGTCTTTTCCACTACACATTTTCACAGTGTGAAATGGTGTATTAGTCATCAACAATGCATGCAAAAGTCTATTTAAAAGTATATAACATTTCAACAATATAACACAATCTACATCATTTCTCCAGTTGCTATTAGATACACTAATTTTCAATACTCTTACTCTTTTTTGTACCTCAGCAACTCCTGACATTATTCCTCTGAAATTCATAGTAGCATTAAAATAATCTGGTGTCTCATCCACAATAAAGTTAATGCACTTATTTCACTAAAATCCACAGCTCTCCTAAACCATAAACCTGATGGTCCTTGGCCAATGCAACCCATTTATTTTAAGAAAGTACAGTCACTATAACTTTTTTAATCTAACATAATTATTAGAACATATCTGAGCTGAAAGTATATCTTTAGAGCTTTGCGACAGTTACATGTTTTTTCTTGATGGCTAACATGAATAAATTGTAAGGGGAAAAAAAACCACAGACACTTGTTTACACTGCATTACATATTTGGATCACAAGGTATGACCTTTACATGTATAGTGTGCCTACTGCCCTAAAGCAATTATATTACTCTAATAGAACTCACTATTAATAATAATAATAACCAATGCCAATACACACTCAAATACATTTTGCATCAGTTTTTCATTTGTTAAATGCCTGCCTAATAACGAGGTCTTAGCAAGTATTGTGTTGGTTAATAGCAGTCTTATTGCTGGGGATATTCATGTTAAGGGTATTCTGGTACATAGGAAATAGAGACTTAGTATGCGTTCTTTGCCAGCAAATTCTACATAGAACAAGTAGCCTCGCAAATATGCCAAAACATGGCATTTTATAGGTTATTACAAGCTTGAATTTGTATCAGCCAAAGTTTCTAGCAAGCCCGTGTATAACAAATTAGAGAAATTCAGTCTGGAAATAATGAGGGCACAAGGTAACTATCAAAAGCTATAGAGATGATTAATCTCTATACTCCAGAGATTAATAAGTCTCCCAACACTATCGCTCTCCAGATTGTTTGGAATTTCCCATGTTTTCAACTTCATCAGAACATATGAACAGATCCTGTATCTCTACTGTGAAGTATTCAGTAGATATACCAAGTGATATCCACCTTGTTATGCAGGCTTGCACAATCTGTAGAAAGGAAAGGATCACACTAATACATTAAAAATACCCAGTGCAGTGATCAGATGTTTCCCAACTGAGAAGTGACACCACTGGAGTGGAGACATTGGAGGTGCTTAGCAGCTGCCTTTAGGAGCAGTGAGGATGCAAATTTATTGATCTTTTTAAAAATTGCCAATGGGTCAACAGGGGTGTTTAGCAGGCTTCGTGCAACACATTAGGTAGGCCTGTAATAATATTGAGTTACCTCTGATTCTAACTCTAGGAACAGCAGATAGAAATTGTCCAGCAGCAGCATCCTAGGAGTAGAAACCATCAACCAATGACCCGGTTCATGCCATGTAGGGCTTTAAAAGTCAAAACCAGTACTTGAATTGGGCCTGGAAGCAAACTGGTAATCAATGGAGCTTTTAAAGCAGGAGTGTAACATGTTCTGCCAGAAACACGTATAACTGCTCACACCATTGTATTTTCCACAGCTTGAATTTTCCAGGTGCTTTGTAAGTTGGGCCCTCACAATCTAGGGCTAGCATTAATTAGTACAGAAGATAAGTTGTACAAAGAATTACCTAACCACGATTGCCATCTACTCGAGTAGGAGTCTTGAGTCTAGGAAGATCTGCAGATTGCACACATAGTCTGGGGCAATGTAACCCCATCCAGCACAAGATGGCATAGTCCTAGAAGTAGAAGGCCCTAAAACTCAAAGCCACTCATTCTTGCCAGGTTTCAGTTGAAGCCTGCTGATCCCTATCCAGACCGTTACAATCTCCAGGCACCAGGATAAGACACCCATAGCATTGCTTAATTCACCCGGGGCAGGTATACAATTGAGTATATTCAATATTCTGATATTTCCCCCCTTGGTGGCAGATAATCTCATCCAGCAGTTTGCTGCTGAATAAGAGAAGCGAGAGCACAAATCCCTGTAGCGCCCTACATAGTAGGGGGCAAAGGAGGGACCACTCCTCCCCAATCACCACTAACTGCAATCAACTCTGGAAAAAGGGAATCTGCACAAAACTGTGTTGTCTACCCCCAATCTTCTGACTTGATGGCATCTGCAAAGAGGCCAAATAAAACAAGGATGGATACATAACCAACCAGCACCAAAGATCATCCAAAAGCATGACCAATTATCCAACTTTCCACCTTCCACTAACCCACTCAAAGATGTTTTATACTAGTCTTCTCCTTGTCGTCTTATCTCCCATTTCCCTTGTTCTCACCCAGGCAAAGTGTTTCAGAATTCTGTTGCTATCCTTTCTTCTTGGGGAGTGAGATAATTTATCTCATGCTCCACTCACAATGTAATTCACTCCTCCAGTCTAATCATCTTGATTATTCTCTGTCTTTCATTTAATTCAATCCACTACCACTGTTAAGTTGATATTCCATGTCTTCCTTTCTTTAGTGTGGTCATGCTCTCATTTGTTGTAACCAAATTTCTTCCATTCCTTTTAGGGTCTTTTAATTTTAACCAGTCTATCTAGGTATCCACTAATTTATTGATTACCAAACAGCAGCATTCAGAGCAGCTCCAGCCACGGCAGCTCTGAGTGAAGAAGCCCACATTTCAGATCTCCAGAAGCTCCTCCCAGTGTACATGATCTTCCAGTGTATATTGGAGGTGGTGACCCGTTGAGAGCAGTATGCAACGAAATTTAATGTATGCCGATTGGTGTACATTTAAAGTGACAATAAAGTTATTCTAAGTCTAAGTGTCACATGATTCTGCCAACCTTGTCCACTGCCATAAAGCAGTGTTACTTTCTGTCCAACTTTGCTATCTTTCTCTTCTTAACAACTTTTTTTATTCATCTTTCAGTTCCAGATCCATTATCTTTCTTACCATTCTTCATCCTCAGAAATCAACATTCCCTAGCTAAAAATTACCATGTAGATTGAAATAACTTTCTCATTCATTTCATCTGAATATAGGCTTTGCTTTTGTTTAAACATCTTCACATACTGAAATCAGAATTTGATTTTTAAGGCTGTCCCATTTCAATAACTGAAGTTGACCATTATGTAATCAATGTTATAAATTATACATACTTCTACTAAACAATTTGTGTCTTTTTATTCTGTAAAAATAAATTACTTCCTTTTTGGCATGATCATTTGCTTCCTTCTCGCCTCTCATTCCTTCTAGAAGAGAAGAAAGCTATGCTACAAGAGATAGCTAATCAGAAAGGGGTATCTTGCCGTGCACAGGGATGGAAAGTCCATCTCTGCGCAGCACAGTTATTACAGCTGGTAAGTGGGAAAGTCATATTGATTCTGTATAAAATAATTCCAGAACTGTTTAGGAAGTCATTTGAAAAGTTACATATAGAAATTACCACAAATTGCCATGACTATCTCTTCAAAAATGATGCAGATAAATTTGTATCACATAAACCTTTAGTAAGGGAGATTTTGAGTCCGGCATACTGATTCATTTTGTTCAAATGTTCAAAACTTACTCTGGGTACACTGGTTTAAAGTGGTATGGAGCCACTGATCTGAGGCAACACTATTGTATATTCCTCCTGGTTGTCCCTACTGCAAGAGAGGTAAGTGCCAAGTCTTTATATTCCAGAAGTGTAGAAAGGAAAACCAAGATGTGTAGTTATACATAGACAACTGTTGGTTTTTTAAAAGTATATGACGCTTTAGACCGAATCAAGATTTTAATCTAACACTAAGTGGTAGTTATGTGACAATTAAGAACTAAAAGCACTGGAGAAGGTTTGGGCCTATATGGAAGGGTGGTATAATGTTTGTACACTGTAAGCAGTTAGAATCTGTTTTCCCATTCAGTGAATTAGGGTGTTCCTTCTTCCTCTTTGAAACATATTGATGTCATTATCAATATCAAGACTTTGCTGCTGTTCTGAAAGCAATGAAATTATACTGAATATGTTGAAATCAGATAAACACTGAATTAGAATTTCTAATTTTATACTCCATGTTATGAAAGAGTGTGAAGCTTAGATATTGTCAAATTTTAATACTTTATAGACTAATCTGGAACATGATGTGTATGAACGACTCACTTCCTTACAAGAAGGCATTATCCCCAAGAAAAAGGCAGCAACTGATGATGATTTGCATCAAATAAATGAATTGATACAGGTGAGTTGTATTTATTTTGCTAATTTTCTTTGGCCTCAGCTGTAGCTGCAGAATAAAGCCTTGATTTTTTTAGAGGAAACAACTGTAAAAGAAAGCTAATCAATACAATAAGTAAATTGAAGATTTTCATTTGGTTCCTTTTTTCTTAGCAAACTGATTTAATTCATATTTCCTGGACTGTAAATAAAAATGAACATATTTTGTATAAATAGATGTTTAATATCTGAAAAATAAAGCTTCATGTATCAACTGAAAATTATAAAGAAATAATTCGGTATTATCAAGTCTGTTTTTTAGGCCCTGATATTAGAACCTGTTATCAACCCATTTTAAATTATTTCTTTTATCAGACAATATTGCATTCAAAGTTGGCATTACATAATACGTCCATAAATTTGTGTATGCTAAACTATTACATAGTTTTTGTGGTATACATTTATGTTCAGGCTACCCTTTCCCCTTTCTGATGTCCATTTCCTATTAAACACCATTGAATCTTTCAACTACACTTTAAAATAAGATAAATCTTTTTCAACTGAAGTTCCCTAGGCTCTGCATAAATACACCTGAAATTTCATTTTAATGAAAAGCAGAGTGGGGAAGGAGACATGGATTTGAGTGTCAGAATTATGTTGTGGGCTTGTGGTTCCCTATACAATTCCTGCCATTATTTACCTTATCTTTAATCTCACTTTTGTTGTGTGCAATCATTTTCAAATTTTCTATAGATACCAGTTGTATTAGAACATTGTCAGCAAGAACTGGGGAGGAGAGTTACATGAGAACTTTGTTCTGAATGGTCCCTTCTGATATGCTATAATAATATTTCAGTTCTTCAGCTTCTGTACTTTTTGGTATGAAGATTATTGAAGATAAAATACAATACGTTGAAGTATTAACATTTTAAATTCAATGTTGTATTTCAGGGAAATATGCAGAGATGTAAACTTGTAATGGATCAAATAAATGAGGCTCGAGAATCCATGCTAAAGGTCTTAGATCACAAAGAGCGTGTTCTGAAGCTCCTTAACAAAAATGGAACTGTCAAGAAGGTATCCAAATTGAAGAGAAAAGAAAAAGTTTAGAAACAAAACTAAAAGGACTGAAAACAAAACATGTACAGAACAGTGTTAAGGTTCTTTTAATGGAGGTTTCTTGTAAGAAGCAACATTTAAGTAAAAAAGACAAGAAAGATGAATTAAAACATGGAACCCAGTGACCTTAAGAGACTATTAATAATCTGTCAATGAACAAAGATTTTTCTCAGGCTCGTCCCTGTTTAAACTCTTCAGTCTCATTTTGTTTAGCTCTCTTGATATGTCCCAGTGCCTACTAATTGGAACCATTGACACAGGTGTGATAGTCCCTTTCTTTTCATCTTACAGTTTTAGACATTACTTCACTGATTTGTACAATGGATTCCTGCAACAGACCTCAAGAGCCATCTGTCTTGAAGCAAATTGTCATAAATTGGAAAAAGTTGAGATGACACTACTTCCACTAAGCCCTGCCCATTCAGGCTCCTTATGAACTTGCAGTGGCTGAAGCAGCCTTCATAAACCAGTGTCCTTGCACTGGCAATTCTGCTATGTTTAGAATCATAAGTGGTTCTGCAGTCTCTAGCTGTCTATTTTTAAAATACATTTCAAAGTTATTTGTAGTGTTGTGAATTTTGTGCTGTGCCCATGTTGGTGCTCCAGGATATTGTTTTCAAATACAGCACAGTTCTTTCTGTAGCTGGTGTGATGCTGTTCATTATATTGCATAAAATTGTGTTATATAACATCTGAAAACGTAAATAAAGGATTTGGAGGATTTTGTATAAGAATAATGGTTATAATTGTGTGGAAAAATGGAAATGGGAAAGAGAAAAGCCTATATTAAAGTATATATTTCCCTTCCAAGCTGTTAAAAACAATGATAATATTCTTAATCCATCAAGATTACAGGTATTTTGATGATTTTAGAAGCCAATAATTCTTTTAATCCAATCTTATAGCTAGTATGCAAATAAGATAAAGATATCCAGATTGTATAAATTTGTCATTTTGACTAAAAGAATAAGAATTAAAACTTTACATAAATCCTGCTTTTGATTTCAATTAGGACTGCACAGTATAAGAAGATTATGCCATTATTAACCAAAGGTCAGTTTAATATGTATGTATAGTTTTATCAGAGTTTCTCATTATGCTCATGATCCAGTCTCATTCAGGTAATCCAAAATTATCATTCTGTACTTCTGTATTTCACTTTTAATTCTTCTTAAGCTTCAGGTTGCTCCAATTTTTAGTCAGGAAGAGAGACCAAAACCCCCAACACACACAACTCTTACTATTTCTAATTTATGTACGAATAAAATTGAATATCAGGCAAGAAAAGTAACATCAAAATCGATATATGAAAAATGTATCTGGATAACAAAACCATGTCAACTTCTATTGAGAAAATTAGCAAGCCCCACAGATCAGTGAGGCCACAAATATCTTTATGGCTCTAAAAATTTCTCCAATTTCAAATCCCAAAATTGACAGCACTGTATAGATCCCCATCATAAAAATTTTGTGGCACTTTGACATCATTTAAAAACTTCCCCCTCTAAAGCTCATAAAAAATTCTCTAAGACAACCCTATCTGCTATGGAACACACTGTTGTTACATATCTTAAATGTTAATCTTAAATATGATTCTCTATTACCAATAATATGCCTGCCCTCATTGTCGCAGATTCAACACTAAAAAGTCAATGAAGACTTTTGAAAATGTAACAATTTAAGTGCTACATTATTGTGTTACAGTTACACAATTCTAGTGTTCTACTTAGAAAACAATTGCACTTTTGCCAGCTCAGCTAGGAAAGCAACTGAAAGAATAGATTTTTCAAGGACCCCAAGTAGATTTATTGTAGTAAAATTAACAAAGGTGCCACAAAAATCCCAATGACTGCTCTATAGCAAATGCAAACTCTAATGGGATAAAAGTTCAAATTGTTACGCCTCATATTTCCTGCCTGCATGATGTAAAATTTAGGTACCACTCTTTTGCACAAGATGGGTATTTTCTTTGTAATGGACTGATCTGGTGTAAGGATTTTTGCTTGCACTTGTATGAGAGTTTGTGTAGCAGTTGTGACAGTTAAAAGTTGAGTTACAGCTTATGTATGCATTTATTTCTATGCAAATATTTACAGAGCTATTTTAAAATACAGTCCATTTGCATTAGTGTAGAAAAGACCATGCAATCATATAATAAATTCCCGAAGCCACATTTTCAGACCATCCATTAGCTCTAAAAGGGCAATTATAGAACAAGAACCTTAAACTGGAGATTTCTCCTAATATACAAGCTTCCTCAATTAACAATGAACAGCAATGAATGCCCTTTTTATATGTTGTCAGCTCATGAGTCAATATACAATAAACCTGATGGATTCTACAGCATACTGCCCATCGCTATAGCTCCAGAGTATTTGTATTCTAGGATAGCATCAAGGGTTCCTTGACCTCTTTTTTTATATGAAATCAAAAATTACATTTGATTTCATAATTTTTATGTAAAAGAAAAAGGAAAAACTAAGAATTTTGTGTTGCCATATCTTCCTAATTCTAATAAGCAACTAAATTTATCAAAAATGAGTTAAGTAATTCTGCAAAGTTACTAAGATTCTGGTCTGCAAATGTCACCGGGTTCAAAATCCTTTTTTTTTCTACGTGACAATGCAATTCTATGTACTTAGAAGCAATATTCTATAAGATTTAGTATTTTATACATAAAATCAGACTTTTTAAGGTTTTATCTATATAACAATAATAATTATATTATTAAAGAGGATCAGATCGGGATGATCACACAAATCACACGCATACTAATGTCAAGAAAACATAAAAGACACAGCCATGCATTCACTAGCAGTCAACCTGGGAATTCTTTGCTCTATTTTTCCAATAATTCAATGGTTCTCATAATTCCCATGGGTGCCATTAGCTAATCTGAGGTGAAATCACACATTTGGAAAGACTTGCCAACAGAAGCACCTATGAGAATTTTATCCCAGAGTAAGATCAAATTTTTTGCAGAATTTTGGGTCTGGGTAGAACCGCCCCTTGCAAAATTGCTCTACTCTTGCCAGAGAAGGGCAAGCCAGTTGTAGATAGATTCAATTCTGCTGTGGGGGGGGGGGGGGGGAAAAAAAATTTCTATACCATTCATGAAAAAAAAAACAACTTTTAGCCATGCTGTCCCAACCTTCTAGTGGTAGATAATATATGCCCATTTCAAAAATGGAAAGGGAGCTTTGAAAGTAAGAGAACCCCACTGATATAACATTCTGACAACTAGTTGAACCTGCTCGACCATTTCCCAATTTAACTAAAACTAGGTGCTCCCTCTCCTGGCCAGCATTCCCTATTTGGGGGGGTCAGGTCCACTAAAAGCTTTAATCCTGCAGATGAACTTGCAGGCTTAGCCACAGTCTAGCCTTGAACTTTAGGGGCAATATTTTTAAGGATACAGTAAATTATTTGGAGAGAAGCCTACTAGACTGCACATATTCAAAGGAAGTGCATTTATTTCCCTCCCATTCTCATATATTTAGGCAGGGAGACAGGCTGCAAAGGAGGATGAAATGCTTCTGAGACAGAAAGCAGTCCTTAAAGAAGGAACAATTTACATGGAGAAGGGAGAAGATAACTGACTGACCTGTGGATTGTCCCCAGAAACCTCAGTTTGTCCCAAATCCATGCTCCTAGGAGCAGAGTTGCAAGAATAGCAAGCTGTCTTCTTCAGAAATACACAGGAGGAATAAAATACATGAAAAACAATATATGGTGGCTTTTTGCCAGCCTATGAATGCTTTACTCTGTTTCCCAAAATTGCCTCTTGAATCAGGATGCCTAATTTTTTCTTGTGTTTTGGTATGCTCTGGTTTCACTCAAAGCCTCCAGCTTTGTGTCGTTTTTTTCAAACGGGAGTACTGGATATGGGAATTGCAATCTTTACTTACAGCAATCAAGCTTTACTATTTATCATTTTAGGCTATTCTAGCAATGCAAAATATGAAAACTTCTTAAAATGCTGTGTCACAAACATCTGCAGTAGATTTTGCCTGCTCTAGAATTCAATCTGCCAATACAATTACATTTGTCATTTAAACCTGCAGCCTTAAGCATACTTACTAAAGGAAGTTTCTATGACTTCAGCTGAACGTACATCTCAGTAAAAATGTGTAGTACTGTCAGCACCTTCATGAAAATAGCTGATTTAATTATCTGCAAAAAAAGACACTTACTTAGTCCTTGTTTAATCAAATTTATCTTGAGTCTTTAAATTTTGATTTTAAAAGTTAAAGCGTAAAGACATGCCAGCAAAGGTTGCACAGAAATGGTTTTTCCAATTGTATATGACTGTGAAAGTTGGACTATTTGAAAATCTGAATCAAGAAAAAATGATGTCAGTTGTATCTTTAGAGAAAATTGAGATCACAAAAAGAACAAAAACAAATAAAATCAGACTCCTCACTAGAATACTGAAGCTAAAACTTATTGGAAGAAAACCTGGTCTTCGGAAAAATTGAAGTATTTGTTTTATATTGTTATTTTAAAGTTTATATTAACTAGACTGCAAATTTTAATTCTTCTCCTTGGTTCTATATGTGTAGCCTGAACATGCACTTAGTATTTTATCTTTTAATCAAAATTATTTGTTTATATGTAACTTTCCTAATTATTCTGGTATTATCAATTATGTTTTTAGATATTTGAATTCTAGTTCTCTTGTTCTGGTTAACAAATGCAATAAGTTTATTTCATGTATTTCAGAAAAACTGAAGACAATTGAAAAAATTTGACAGGAAGAAAAAGTAGTTAAATAATGTCACCAATTACCCAAGCATGTACAAACAGTCCTTGAAAAACAATATTCATCAGATCACAAAAAGTCAGAAGTACCTGGATAACAAGTCTTAAATAGAAGAGTATCATGTACACAGATGCATGACAATAATAATAATCTATATACTTAGATGCAGTATTATGTAAATCTTAATACAATTTATTGGCTGACCTGTTTTGAAATATTGCCAATAAGAAGCTGAGATTAGCAGCCAGTAACAGTTTTGTGGAAAGTGAGGTATTTCAAAGCTACAAAAAGTTCTCTTCCATTTCGTTCATCTTTCTTTCTACAATCAGCTAAACCGTAGCTATACATTACCTGCAATGTATATGTTGTAAAATTTCTGAAGAAGTCCAAAAGACATATTGTTTCACGACTGGAAAAAAAAATCCCACTTTGAGGCGTACATCATCGTCCCATGAAAAATTGGCCATATGCAAGAAAGACATATGGAGCTTCTACGTCGGTAGTTTGGCTTCCTTTTTTTAAAGAATGCACTTGAAGTGGTGAGACTTTGGGCTGAAAAGTAATGCGTTTCTAGTTTATGTGATAGAATTAAAAATTGCCTACCACTGGTTAAATGATGCCTACCACTGATCGATAGAACCGAGCGTTTTTAAGTTGCAATACTAGAATTTTTTTTTAATCCCATCGTTAGCTAAACGAGTGCAAAAGAGGCCAGAGCTTCTAAATATTGAACGGTTGTCCCGAAATAGTTTTCACGACCGATTTTCTTCGCCTACGTGCCGTTAAAGACTTAGCAAACTTGTCCTGATCATCTTGAGCCTGCCAGTTCTTACCGGTGGACCGACAAAATAGCCTTTTGAGGGAATTCCAAAGGAAAGCCTAATAACATACGCAATCAACTCTAGTTATCCGTTAAAAAGACGAGCGTCTCCATTTCCCTTCGTTCTCTGTAGTCGGCAGGTCTTCTCACGTGACCTTTTTAACGGCTCCCTATGCGGCGGGTGGAAGTTCCTGTAATCTATGGTTCTTTTTGGAGAAACTGTCCTCGCTCTGTCTATGGTTTTCATGGGGCCGATGGGAGGTTGGTGTGCACATTCCTCTCCCATTACCTCACACTCAAAAGAAAGGGCCGCCGGGAAGGTGGAGGACCTGGGCTCTCCTGCCTTGCTTCAGCTCTGTTTAGCCGGCGGCTACTCCGCGCTTCTTCGCCCGATTCTGCTGTGCGGTTCTTTCCCACGGCCTGTCTTGTCCTCCCTTCCCCTGCCCCGCTGGGTCCACTTCTCCAGCTCTCGCCCGCCCTGGCCCATGGCTCCATGAAGCGCGGGGTAGTAGAGGTGGCGGCGGCGGCGGCGGGGAGGCAAGAGCAGGAGGAGCGGCGGTGGCGGCGGCGGTGGTGGTGGCGACGGCGGTGGTTAGGTTGAAAAGTAACTGGAATAGGGAACTGTCTTCGCGTCAAGGAAAGAAAAGGTGCGCCGTGCCGGGCTCTTTTTGGGGCAGCCCCGTCCCTGGGGGAGGGGAGAGGAGGATGGGGGGGGGGGGGAAGCAGGCAGAGTATAGCCAGCCTTTCGGGCTCTCCTCAGATCTCACCGCAGACCGCTTGCCTCGCCTCTTACCCCGCAGGCGAAGCTTCAGACCTTCATGTGAAGCTCCTTGTCCGACTGTCTCCTTGCCTGTCGGCGATCTTGGAAGCTTTTCCTTTCTGCCTCCCTTTCCTGCCAGGCCAGCGGGTCCCTTCACGTTTGTTCTGCTCTGCTACTTCGCCTCGGGTCCGGGGGTTCCTGAGCCTATTTGATTGCCAGGTTCTTAGCCCCATTAAGGCTCAAAACGCCCCGGTTGAAGCGGATCGAGCTCACTGGGTGACTTTGGCAAGCTTCCTTTTCCTTGCTGCTTTCCTGTCATGTTAAATTATATAGCATGGTGTTGGGAAATTGTATGAATGAAGAGAATCCAAGTTAGATTTTTTTGCAGTTGCTAAAATAATCCAGGTTGTTCCTTGCTCTGTACTGTACTGTATATGCTGTGGTGCCTCTATACAGGAACATGCCTCACAGCAGTACTAGTCCCTAATATGTTCTTAGAATTGCAGCTACAGTAAGCTAAACTCATTCACAATATTCTACCTTTTTTTTACTTAGGGAAGGAATCAAGGGAAATTTAAGTATGCGTATAATTGTGCCTTAATTAGAAGTAAAATTCACAACTTGAATGTTGCAAAAAATATGCTGAGGATTTTCTGAAAACTCTTGATTTCCTCTATAGACATTGCTCTAATAGTGGGTTTTGTTATTCCAGGTCACTTTCTTTTGCAAATGCTAATCTTTTTATTCCAGAAGTGGTACATAGTTCAGTGATAATGTCCTTGTTCCTCCTTGTTCTTAGATATTTCTAATAATTTGTATTATTCTACTTTACTTTGCTCATTTTTTTCTACAATACCCCCCCATATAGCTATATATTAAAGAAAATTTGTTCCAGACACTGAGATAAAGTTACTTTAAAAGAATAAGTGTGTGTGTGTGTGTGTGTGTGTACCTTTTATTTGTAATATAAAATGTATTTAAATAAAGGCTTCAAGAGTGAAATATAAGAAAGATGAATGGGGAAGGGAGACAAGGAAAAAAAATTCCCTCATATAGGAAATATTTTACAATATATTTTTAGTCACTTTTGCAAGTCTGTTGACGGTCTAACAGTATACTGGTGTTCAACTACATCTGAAAATTTATAGGTTTTATTTCTTTCTTTTCAGATTTGGAAACAGGAATGGGCCGTGAGAAAAGGAAATTCATTCCAGAAATAAAATAGCTTCCCCTTCCACCTGTCCACTTCCCCCTTGGCAGTACAAGGTTTCTGCTTTCAGTAAGCATTTATCTGAAGCCTAATATACAAAAGCTTTATAGTATAAAAAAGCAAATAGCTTGTAAATGGTGACGCTAACAGTTGTGACAGCTCCTGCTGTTCCACACTCCAGCAAAGTAGGAAGGTTATCTTCTAGCTATATAACTTTTTCCTCTTATTTTCTTTCTCTCTAAAAAGGAACTGAATAGGTACTTAATTCTTAATTTTTTGGAGGCTGATATTTACAAATATTTAACATGAAGTATTGTGTTAAATACCTGCATTTTGTATACACATTTTAGAGCTTTTGCACATAGTATTAGTATACAGTTCCTTCACATAGTTGTAAACAATATCAATTTAGCATAAACATATATTGCATGCTGAAGTTTTACTCAGCATATTTAGCTGCCAGTGGAAAATATGTAATTGAACATTTTTAAATATTTTTACAAATTTTGCATATCCTTATCACAATTTGGGTAACCATTTGTTTCAATCTTGTTCAAAGTTTGAGCCCTACAGCAAAGCCTTTTTTTCTGCTCACTTTATAATTTGAAATAAAGCTAGTTATGCTGCAGAAACAGCTCTTCTGCCAGAGATTGAAGAATCTATGTTATCATTTGGGATTCCCTGATCAGAATCATTAGGGATCACTTATACCACATTGCACAAATTGCCCAATTATAACTGAGGAAATAACACTTCCAAGAATGGATGATGCACTCATTAAATATAAAGATAACAAGATACGGCCATTTTGTTTCTAGAAGACCATGCAGGGTGGCTGCAAAGAAGGAAAAATTGTTTTTGTCCTAATAAATAGCATGTATGGATAACCATCTGTCTTGATCCAGAATATTTTTTTAATAGGAACAGAAGTCTAACCAAGAAGAAATATCATTCTTGGGTTTCTCTGACTATTATTTCCAAAAGTAGAGATCTGCACATTTTAAAATTTTTCAAGTTCAAATTTCACAATATGTCCCATTTCAAGTATGAAACATGTGGTTTCAAGCATTTTAGAACTCATTCTGGTTTCAGCTTGGAATATTTCCAAAGCCCTCAAGCAGCCAAGATGTCTTCAAAACAACAGTTTTGGGTTAGACGAGATATTAGTTGAAGCATCACTCTTGAAAGCTCCTCTCCTACCTCCCGTAACTTGCACAGCCCGCATCGGCCTTCCCTTGCTTCGATACCCCCTGCAACACCCCCGTCCTCTGTGTCACTCCCATACGCCTTCCATAGAACTTCTGCCACTTTCCACTTAGCAACTAGCATATCTCGGTATTACAGTGGTAACCAGGATTGCCATTGCTAAGTGATGTGTTCATATGACACCACACTTTATGACCACATTACTTAGCGACAGCAATCCTTGTTCCCAATTGCTGTCATAATTTGAGGGCTACATAAGAGGGTAGTCTAGCGTTTTCTGATTAGTCTTGAATTGCTGATACATTTTTAAAGTAACTTTTGATGTCATATAATCTCAGTTTGTTTCTGTTTAATTTTTAGCTATGCCATATGCCAGTTTTCTTGTATAATATGTATGTTATAATATGAACTACGCTGTTTTATTACTGGAAAAAGTACTTTGTTGTATATTTTTTTCATTAATGAAATGACATATGTTGCATATTGTGTGTTTTATCAGGGTTCTACAGTGCTTCAGACAGTAGGTGCTGAATCAGGATGGGAAAAAGACGCTGTGTTCCTCCACTTGAGCCCAAGTTGGCAGCAGGCTGTTGTGGGGTAAAGAAACCCAAATTGTCTGGAAGTGGAACACATAGTCACGGGAATCAAGCCACAACTGTGCCAGTCTCTAGTTCAGGTCCTCTTCAGAACCACCAGCATGCAGATGGGGGCAGTGGAAGGGAGAATGTCTCAGATTTGACTTTATGCCCCGGAAATTCTCCAATTACTCGAATGAATCCCACTTCAGGAGCATTGAGCCCACTTGCCCGGCCTAATGGAACTGCCAACAGCACCAAAAATCTAGTCGTGACAGCGGAGATGTGCTGCTACTGCTTTGATGTACTCTACTGTCATCTTTATGGTTTCCCTCAGCCACGACTTCCTCGATTTACCAATGATCCCTAGTGAGTAAATTTATGGGCATGGGAGGGAAACTGAATATCCATCCAAAAGGATAATGCAAGAGTTATTCAAAATTCAGGTTATCTGCTAAGAAATCTAAAATAGTTGTTTTTGTAGATGGTTTAACATATAAAACTGTCTGCTATAAACAGAAAGCATGCATATTAGTGTTTATGAGATGAAACAACTCTGTGCAGTGGTAGTTGGAGAGCATTAGGACATGGACAGTTGAGGAAAGAAAGTCGAACAGTAGACTAAAACAGCTATTATGATTTGTCCCCATCTTTTTCATTCTAATCGGCATTGAGCTTATTGAATATCGCAGTATGAATAAGACTTCATAATTAAGGTATCAAAAAGAGCTGTACTTACAAATGTTGTCAAGGAATACAGAATTTTCTTTTCTCTAATTTATCGAAGGAATTAGTTGATTTGTCACTGTTTCAGGTTAGTTTAAATCCCCTGAAATGAAAATAATCTGAAGCATGGTATTCCAAAATCCAGTTTCAAGGATTTTCTTCTGGAAACTATTGAACTATCCCCAAAACAGAACAATCTAGAAGGGGAACAGAAGCAACAGTGGTACCTTGTTGTCGCACTTCTTTTCTAGAGTTTCTGATGTATATGATACGTTTCCATGTCTTTTTTCTGCATCAGAAATCTGGATACAACAGTAATTTCTCATCATTGCTGTTGGATTCATGATAGCTACCAAGGAAGATTGATGGGTACCAAGGAAGATTGAGTTTGTCCTGATTCAGGATGTGGCATTGCTTTTTTTTTTTTTAAGACGAAGAGTTTCTTAAAGGAATAAAATCTCATGTATAACTAAAATTGTCAGTTATACTGACCAGTTATACTGCACTGATCCCATGTATTGCTCATGTAATTAGTTAATAATCACTCTGAATTCAATTTATGTTAAACAAAATCAACCATACATGAAGTTCAGCTTGCCTTCCCAGTAGAGCAATAAGTAGTATGTTGAATGATGACAATTTTACATAGTTTCTTACATACGTTTGGAAGAATTGGTAACTACCAGAGAGGTGGTATTAGGATAAAGTAATATAATCTAATAGAATGTAGTATATATCCTATGCTTATTAAAAATATGCTTATACCAAGAAAAATTGGATAATTCAATATCATATTCAAATATTAAAAGTTGTGGTTTAAATGAACATATAGGGTCAATTTATACTGTTTCCCAGCTTTGTAATTCATACATTTCCTGAAGCATAGTTTGTAACTGAATACATGCAGTGTGACTTTGCACAACATTCTAGGATAAAATATTATTGGCTACTTCATGGTTTAATAAATTGTGTTGATTACTTTGTTTAGTTTATGATTTAAAGTGTTATGTGAAACAAGCATTTTGATTTATTCAGTAATCCTTGGATTAGTGTAGTGTTCAACTGTAGCTACATCAGTATGTGCCCGTGAACATTTTGGTCTATACGGTTATAACTTTTAAAAGAATATGAAAAAATATGAATATATTAATATCTGGAAATATTTTAATAATTAATAACTGGAAAGACTTCAATAAAGCAATATGGGTTAATGGTGAACATGTTGAATGAAGACTGGGGAGGCCTAGGTTCAAATTACAGTACTCGCAGCCATGGAAGCTCACTGAGTGTCTTTGTGCCAGCCCTTTTCTGCCTAAACTCCCCATGATCTTGTGAGAAGTATTAGAGAGGGAGTGTTATATATGGTATACCTTGAACTCCTGAAGAAGTCGTCAGATATAAATGTAATAAATATCTAGACATATACTTAACAGAGTTTTATCCCATGGCAAAATATTTCTGCAAAATATTAATATTATGTATGAATGAATGAATGAATGCTGGTGATACTTTGACAGTTTCTTGGCCCACGTGAAGCATGTTATATTGCATTTGTTTTCAGCCACACTTATAACATTTGACTTCAGTAGTTGGATATTATTTCCTATAGTCTGTATTCACTATGAAATGCTACTTGTATAATGAAGGTTGGAAGTTAACTTGGAGATTCATCCTCCTGATGATGTACAAATCTATGGTAGTACTACAACATTGCCTACAGCTGCTAATCCAGCCTCTATTTAAACACCTCTGCTTAAACAATCTACCATACTGAACAGTTCTTTCCTTTTTTTTTTTTGATGTTCTAGTTAAACCTGCTAATTAAACCCATTTTTGGTTGTCCTGTTTTCTGGAACAGCTCTAAACAATTCTTTCTGATAGGATTGCCTTTCAGAGATTTTATGACATCTGCCTTCTTTCTGAAGTGTTTACTATTTCAAGCTAAATATAGCAAAACCTCTACCTGCTCCTCATAATTTGTTGTTTTTTTGCTTTCCAAGCCTTTTATCATGTTGGTTGCTCCTATTGGGCATGTTCTAGTTTGACCATATATTTTCTAAAATATGTGCCAATAACTGGATGTAGTATTCTAGTACTAGTCTGATTAATTCAGAAGAGAGGAACTATGATTTATATTGATCCTGATATTATACTTCTATTAATACAGCTTAGGATTGCTTTTTCTTGTTTCATTTTTTTGGAGCTGCACAACATTGTTGGGTCATATTCTGCTTGTAATCTACTAAATCCTTTTGATATATATTGCTGCCTGTATCATACCCCCCTTATGCACACTTAGTTTTTTCCTATTTTGGTATAAGACTCTAGATTTGTAGTTATGAATTTCATCTTGCTGCTTTTGCTACTTATTTGAGTTTATCAGGATCTTCCTGAATCTTTGTATTATGTATTGAGAGGTTTGCTCTCCCCCCATCTTCATGTCATGAGCAAATTTGATAATCATAGATAGTAATCCTTTAATCAAATTGCTTATAAATATGTTGAACAGCAAAGGACTTAAAATGAGTTGTGCAGTATAACATTCAGAACTAACTTCCAGCTTAGAATGGCACAGGATCTAACAGGGAATTACACTGGCCTTAGCTTAACAAAATACAATTGTGTACAAACAATTTCAAATGGAGTCTTAACTAAGATGCCCATCACTATGGTAGCCATGCCAGTGGAAAAAGGATTTAATGAAAATTTCTTTGCCAGCTGATTTTGAGATTTACTCTTCTAAGTAAAAATGTAATACATAAACATATCCTTATTATTATGATGTTCTGCCAATAGGATACTGTAAGAGGAACTGTGTTTCATCCTAATAGCATTACACTGATAAAGGGGTTGGTGTGATTGGAAATGTCCCCTTATATTTAATGGAGACAAAATCAAAACATGAGAGAACTCCAATGTTGCTATGGTGTAGTTAAGATTTCGACTAACCCTGCCTTCAATCCCAGTGTATCTTTACCAGTATATAAACTCCAGACAAGATGTCTAGCTGAAATATTAGGGTATGCTCTTGTCTGGGTATATGAGAGAAGAAGGGAGAGAAACAGTGTGATAATGAGAATGATAGAACATTTGCAACTGACTAAGGGGCTATGTGGTGATGAGAAATACAGAAGAATACTTTGTACAATAGTTCAACCTGTCCAGAGGATACTGCTGACATTTGTCAGAGAACTCCCAAGAGCTACCTTACCCTAAGACATGAACGTCTATCGTCAACTACTCCTATAATTGGGATAAAAGGACAAAGCATCTTGAACAGGTAAGTTATGTATGGTGGAATGCCAAAGAGGCTTTGGGAACACAGAGTGGTAGCAAGACAGTTAAGGGAGAAGGAAATAGGGGCACAAGTGGGGGAAGGGAGAAACATGAAAAAGATGACCCAGATTAACTCTACCTTAATTACAATCCATACAAGCTATGAATTTACTTGGTAAACATCTCAATTACATTTCAATTACATTACATTACTCAATAAGCAATGAAAAATCTTTGTTTCCTAAATTGGCCAAACTTGTAGGGCTTGAAACCATACAAGAATACAGTTCCAGTAAATAGTCCCACCCCTTCCAATAAAAAAAAATGAAAGCTGCATTTTGACTAATTTTATCAGCAAATAGATATTTTCTTCTACAATACTTTGATGCACCAAAGGCTTATTGTATGTACTCTAGTAGCTGTGAAAACAGTAAATGCAAATAAATAACTGTTAGCGAAAGCTAGGCATTCTAAATCTTGCTCCTTTTAATCAAAATCATTTTTGATCCCTTTTGCCTCACAGCATCAAAACCTGAACACAAGAATAAACATACAGAGGTTTTCTTCAGTGAAAGGTGAATATTTAGGGTAAGATTTGCTACATACACCATTTGAGCATCTACAGCAGTATTAAGTGGTTTCTTCACAAATAAGTACTATGTATTTAGAGTCAGAGACTTGTGCTTTATACCTGCTAATTGTTACTCTCTCTTTATATCTTTAGATTTCTACATACTCTACTTGCTAGATGTGGAGGGCTGGATATTTTCCATTCTCAATGCCATGCAGACTACAAGGAAAACTTACAGCAAAACCAGACCAATGTGATTCCAACTATTTCATTGAGTGGTTGCCAAACATATTCCAATAGGTTCCATATTTCAGCAACCAGTTACAGAACAAGTGAAGCAATGTTCTCTATGGAAGATTAAGCAAGAATACCCACACCCACTACTTTTATAAACTGTGACTGGGTAGTTTTCAATCCCTTCTCTGTGGTTTTGAGAACTACAGCACTGTAAGCGCTACATGTAGAAAGGTGGGACACATATTTACAATAAAAATAAGGATTTCACTTTATTGCAGCGCTTGTCTTTTTGTTAGTATAGATGGTAATGTTCACTTAACACCTGGTTTCTATTGTTCAGAATCATACTGGTTAAAAAGAGATTTCTTACTATTAAGGTTTGGTGCATAGATGGTTCTCTCATCTAACCATTTGAGTTTCAGTTATACTAACAAAGTAGGCCTTCAACAGGAGGCCTGGTTTCTGGTTCTGTAAACAAGACAGTCATTTAACATTGGTTGAGGGAGAAAAGCTATCTTATTAATAGCAAGCTGTCTTATGCTGGCATTATTTGGCATTCTCTTGGTTACTTAAGAGAACATATGTATATCTGTTTGTGTGGACTTCTCCCAACTTCTTTTATTGTGAGATTGCATCCAGAGCTTGAACTGAAAGTTATTGTATATGTTACTGCTATAATTCAATAAAGATCTAATGTTCCTTTACAACCTGTGAACTAAAGGTGTAAATGTCTGAACTTGTATATAGATAATATATAGGGAATATATTTGATGATGGTGTAAGGAGTTGCTCTAGACTAATGTGTGTTCTAGTTCTGCCTACTATTTCATGCTTGTGTCTAACTTAATTTTAGCCCTCAATGTATGTGGAAGATGAATTGGATCTTACTTACTATTTCTCACAATAGGACTTGAATTTATGTCTTCAGGTTTTTAGAGCCTCCTTGATAAATGATGATTGTTCCATACAGTAATTGAAAATTGCATATTAATTCTGGGAGAATTCTACTATCTGAACCTCAGTGTGCCCTGATATATAATATCTGTATTGATAATCATGTTTTATTTGGTAGAAAAGTGATTGGGGATAGTTGGTTTTTTTTAATCACAGTGCAGAAGTTGCTGGATTACTCATCACAGTGTTAAAATTGTTTAACCATGGCTGTTGGAATAAAATCTGCTTGGTGAGTTTATAACACAGAACTCAGTAAAATGAAACAAACACCATTATGGGTGAAGTTCTTTGTGCTTGGCTACTGTTGATGGGGAGGAAAACATTTTCTCCATGTTAAGATTATTATAGGTTAGGCAATGTGGAATGCAACAGTTTTTACTTCTATATATGCATTTTGCTTTTTTCAAATTTAGTGTCTCCTGTTTTTATTACAAAGTATCAAATCATATATAAAGTATGCAGCAAAATCTAGAGCTACAAAAAAGGCTTTTGTTCCATAAATGAGACTCTTTTTGCAGTAAATAATATTGTCCAATAATGAGGAGGAATAATTGGGAATCTTCTGTTAACTCTAAGGTTTGCAAAAGTAATGGAAAAACTTCACTGAAAAAGTTCTTGAGAGGAAGAGCACATTGTCCTTGCACAATGTATATGAAAGGTGTTCATAAGGGAGCAGATAAGGAGGGTAAGGGGAAATTATCCTGAAAAAGAAGATGTTAATTGTTATCCTGTACAAGAGGACTCTATATTGCAGTGCTTTGTTGCAGATTCCACTTGAAATTTAAATTTAATTTACAATTTCTACAAGACTGAGAGTGTTTCAGGAGGCATGTTTTTTTTAAGTCATATCCACCTATTTGCCTAAAAGTCTATTTGAATAGTAAGTCTGAGTTCAAAACGTGTTTAAATGCTTATATTTTAAAGTTAGCTTATTATTTTTAAAAAGATGCAGAATTTTATTTCTTTTAACCCTTATTGTTTTTTTAATATACAAGAGCTATTTCAGTGTACCTTTCAGTGTATCCATGGCACTGAAAAATTATTAAATGTTTTACCAGTGGCTAACAATCCTAGCAGTACAGAATTCTTGGCTTCCAGCTTGGAATTCCAAAAACAAAGTTTTTATGTACTGTAGTCAATACCAGTTTTGAAAAAAAAATCATGTTTATTTCTCACTATGTTTTGTTTCCTTTGTAGGGATAAGTCTAAATCTAAAGAAATTCTAAACTGAGAGTAGCATATTTTACTTTATAAGATTGTTAAGCAGTCTAATCTTTATTTAAGTTGGAAAACAATGTTAACCAAACAAAAAGCTAAGGGAGTAATCTGTAGTTTGAATTAAGAAATGTGTTTTTAAAAATCTGCATATTTTAGTGTATAAATGAATCAAAGAGTAACTATATGTTTGCTTAAACTACATTTTAATTGTTATTTCCATGGTGTTTATGAAACAAAGCTGCTTCCCAATTTGGAAAGTTTATCATTTGCTCTTTATTACGGTAGTATGCTAAAGAAGTTTTAATTGCAGGACACAGACAGAATCTACATCAGAATCAAATTTGTGATTCTGTAGCTATTTTGTTTTTACTGTGGCTTTTAATGGGATTACTGTTATCAAGGATTTCAGGCTTATATTAAAAAATAGTTTACATAACAATAACATTACAAATTGCAAGAGCTGATTTAAAATATAAGCAAAAAAAGACAAATATTAATAGATTATTTGCTGCTCAGATAAAGAAATGGAACAGCAGGCTTATTTTTCAGATAGACATGGCAATGTTAATTTTCATCCAGATTATTGTATGCTTGAATTAATGGTCCAGCAAACTAAGTTTTTGTAGCATTTTTCACCATGTTGTTAAAAATAGAAACAAAACTGAAAACTCTATACTAGATAGCTACAATGAGCTTCAGATTTAGATCTGGAATACTTTTTGCAACTAGTTTAATTCCACTGATGATATCATTGGATATCAACAGAAGTGCAGCATACTGAAGAACTCAGAAACTAGATCAGAAGGTAATACAGAGGGTAACAATTAAGATTTTTTAAAAGCACATTAGACTAATATAAAATTAAAAACACAGATTTGATAGATGCATGAATATGCATAGCCAACAAATTAAAAGCAAATGGTACCACAATTATTGTATTTTCTCTGATTATCTTTAGGAATTAGAAAAACTAAATTTAATCTAAGTTAGCCATGAAATTATCCTGATTTTAGAATTTCTTCATAAAAAATAATTCTTGAACAATTTATTTAGATTTGGTTCAGAGGACCGCTTTAACACTGTAGCAGTTCCAATTATCTGCCCTTTTACGATAAATAGCCATCATGGAACAACTCGCCACAGCCAACTCATTGCGGCCAACTTGCCACAGCCAATTCACCACAGCCAGGATAATTTGCCATGGTCAACTCGCCATGGAACAACTTGCCATGGGACAATTTAACAATTTAATTTAATTATTTAAAATAAATTAAAAACATTGTTTTAATTTTTGTCATTCACATTTCATTCTATTCCTACTTTTGCATCCTTTCTTTAATAATTTTATTCCACCATTTCTTTGATATTAGTGAAACTCTTGTACTGCAGTAAATTGGCCGTGGCAAGTTGGCTGTGGCAAATTGTTATAGACCCAAAAATTTCAGGCTTGGATGCACCTTTTTCTTTTCATGTGAGCTCTCAGATTCTTTCTTGCCAGTAATAACTTACTATTTTATGCAATGTTCAAGCTCAAACTAAAATAAAAAGTATAATTTGCTGTTGACGATAGCTCATTGTACCTGGCTGAAACAGTGACCTATTTAAGTTTTAGTACTACTAGTTATTCCAGGCTGAAGCTATGTCTGTAAACACAAAGTGTAAAAAAGGAAATGAAACACAAAAGGTTTATTTCCAGTCTTTAGGGAATTAGTGCATCAGGACTGCAAACTTTAAAAATGTTTTAGAAGCATTCCTGCCTTCATCTTTCTCTAGTAATATAAAAAGCCCAATATTTTCAGGCTATCCAGTGAATGTGAAAAAATGTTGTTTTAAAGAATCTGCTCATTAAATTTAATATGAAAGCAACAGTACCTTTTTTTTCAGATTCACACAAATATCTAGAAGTATCCCTTCCCGCAGTTCAAAGCTGATATTTTAGATGAAAGAGTTTATTGTCTAAGAACAGATATTTTTCCTGGCAACAGTTAAGTGGGTTGTCCAACTCTTTTGTGGTAACTGAGCTTAAGTGTATTTATCTGCATGGAGTCTAAAGTGCTCTTAGATACGCAATTTGATTGTCTGATCAGACTTTTTAATGTGGTATTTTATATCCAGAATAACAAAAATTCTTGTAATATTGACCTTGGTTTCTAGCCTGATGCCTTAACCACTGTATCAAATAGGCTCTCCAATGTGAACAATACAGACAATGAAATGAACATTGAGGATAAGATGACTTCCATGAGGAAGAACATCATACTCCCAACACTTCTGGAACCTGTTTGTCTTGAGGAAAGAGCCATCATAAAATGTTGCTTCTGGACTGGAGCATCAGTCAAGTACTAAACCATTACCAGAGCTATTAAATGTCACTGTGGCCTTTCAGATGTTGCTAAATAAAAGTGGTCAACAGTATGGCTGGTAAAGAAAAAGTAAATTTGGTAGCTGACATTCAGCAAAATTTGTTTGAGCTTCAGATTCCCTGCCCTTCATTTGAACACTTCAGAAGAATCAATAGGATTATGCTGCCTACCTATCCTGATTTAGGTCATCCAAACATATTGCCCCCCAAAAGAAGCAATTTTCTCTCTTCTTACACAGAAACAAAGCAGGTACTCAATATTCTGCATACTTAAGCCAAGTGAAATTATTGTCTTTGTGTTGGTAACAGCATTATTAGAGCATGTTTTTCAAAAACTGCTACTGAATTACTACTGTGCATTCTTAAAAACAATGTAACCTGTCATTTTAAGTACTTCTAAGGTTTTGAAAAGTATAAAAGAAGGAAAGCAGATTGTAATTTAGTTCACTGAAACAGGCATTGAAAGCTGAAAAAGGGATACATTGATTTTTCATTGCAAATGTAGTCGTATTTTTTATATTTTAATTCATTTTTCTCAGCAAGAATTATTTGAAGCTTTTGTGTTATGCATTTTCAGCCCACTCTTTGTGACATGGAAGACAGGCCGTGACAAACGACTTCGAGGTTGCATTGGAACTTTCTCTGCCATGAATCTTCACTCAGGACTCAGGGAATACACATTAACCAGGTAAAATCTACAGTGATCTCTCAGAAAACCAAGCCCAATTAGTTTTGTATACATACTGTATTTTTATTTAGTACTTCTTGTAGTATGTATAAATCTGTTCTGTCCCAAAGTGATGTATTTTTTTTTTCTTAAATTTAACTAAATCTTAGAATGCAGTAAAACTTCCAAATTATGCAGTGATTTGCTATTTTATATATGTTTGTGAGCATGTTCTCTTTCTACTTTAGTGCACTTAAGGACAGCAGATTTCCACCCCTGACTCGTGAGGAGCTGCCTAAACTTTTCTGCTCTGTTTCCCTCCTCACTAATTTTGAGGATGCTACTGACTACTTGGACTGGGAGGTAAAACTGTGAATCTGACTTTTCTATCATCCTTCTGTGCCATTTAGATTCAATCAATATTTTGTACTATATCTACAAAGTAAGTTATAATGATAGAATTTAGAGAATAAAATTTTAAAAAGGGATGATTTAAAACTGAATTACTGAATAAATTATTTCAGTCCTTCCCAAATGAATATTACCTTGATACATAGACAGAACTTCATAGCTTCAGTGAACTTGAGAATAGTGCAACACAAACATGGATTCCTCATAAGGACACCTATGCAATTAAAATCAAAATCAGAAGAATAGATGAAGCTAAGAATAATTTACATGTGAGCTGATAGGCATCCATAGGAATAAAGGGTTGCAAGTTCTTAGGAAAAGGTGCAGAAACAACAGAGATTGGAGAAACAAAACGGTTCAGAACAGGAAAGTCAATGAGATAGAGATGAATATTTTTCCCATATTTGTTTAGCAAATATTCTATAAGAATGGAAGGATTGGATGAGATAGCCGCTGAAATAAACATTAGAAGTCAAACCACGAGCCAATTGTGATATGGAAAATATATCATCTTCTCTGAAAGTAAAGAAGTGAGAACAGCTCATTATGAAAATGAAAAAAGTAAAGTTAATATTAAAGGGTGATATACAGCTTTGTTTTCTTAAGCTAAGGAATAAAGTTAGACATTTCACTGGAAAAATAAAAACAGTTCTAATAAGGAAAACAAATTTAGAAATATCCATGATCTTGACAATGACAACTGAAATTACACTTAAAGCATTGCGCACTGTAGAAAAAGAAAAGGGTACATTTAAATTAGGGATTTGGAAACAGTTATTAAGAATAACAAAGAGAGCAAGAAGGATCAATCAGTCGCCTTTTACTCTTGGGTAATAAATGCCAAGCAAAAATCACCCTGAGAAGCTATCTTTGACCAATTGGGACTGCTAAGAATTGGAGGCAAGACAAGACTTTTTTCAGACTGATGTTTGAATAAGATCCACGGCAAGGGTGAATCCTTTTTCTCAGAAAATACATCCCCAGATGACTTAATACTTCTATTTTTAGGTTGGGATCCATGGGATCAGAATTGAGTTCATCAATGAGAAAGGTGTTAAGCGCACAGCTACATACTTACCTGAAGTTGCTAAGGAACAAGGTGAGTTAGGAATAAAATGTAATTCTATATTAAGTGAAAAATGTATAAATGAAAAATGTAAATCATGGAGATGGCGTACACAGCTACTGAATAAAGCCATTCCTCACCTTTGGCTAAAGTATTCAGAGGCCTTGACCTTAAATGACTCAAAATAGTAATACATTCAGTGGGTGGTGATTTTTTAAAGATATTTTGTTTTTATTTATTTGTAGATTTATATACTAATTTTTGTTAAGGAACAAGGTGGTAGTCTTGTTTTAAATGCTGCATTATTCATAATTGTTTGGACTTTTAAATTTTTCAAACAGTGAAAACAGATTATGGTTTGAGTCAATAATTTATTTTGATGTTTTGCCCTGAAATATAATACAATTCCTCGAATTATTTATTCCAGCATGCAGAAAAATCACATTTGCTCTTCCTGCATGAGAATACCAAAGTATAATTTAAACCCTACAAGAAAATTTAGTAGATTTAAATTTTTAAATTATAGCTATAGTGTACTTCATTTTAAAGCATGATTATATTTGTTTACTATATAGATAAAATAGTATGAACCTCTAATATTAGACTTGATAATTTTGGTTGTTTATTATTGAAATACACATGCACGAAATTTTAATCACGTAATATTCAATATTTATAGTTACTATTCTATTTATCAGTAGCTATTTATCAGCAGCTTATCAATAACCTGAGTAACGAGCTTTCTTTTAAGTGGCTATCTCTTTTTTAAGTTAAGCTTGTATTTATGTCTGCTGCTGTTATTTCCAAACAGATTGGGATCAGATTCAAACAATAGACTCCCTGCTCAGGAAAGGTGGTTTTAAGGCTCCAATTACCAATGACTTTAGGAAAACTATTAAACTCACCAGGTAAACTTTCTTGTTATTTTTGTATTAGTATTATCACTGCTTCTTATTCTAATTAGAAGAACATATTTCTGAAAATTATTTTTTTTCCATGCAAAGTTTTAAATTTTAAATTAGATGTTCTTGATCCTATAGTTATTATCACCACCACCACCCCATTCTCCAAATTGCCAACAATTTGAACTTAGAATTTATTTTACATAAAATATTTTACATATTGTATGGTTTTTTTAATCTACAAAGGAATTTTAGGAAACAATGACATCTTGAGAAAAAATCTGTGTTATCTTTTAATGTTAATTTTACTGTTTTAACAGGATTAAACTATTATTTTATTTATTTATTCAGTTTCTATGGCTTCCTATCTCAACCAAGTGACTCTGGGCAGCTTACAGTTCTAAAACTATAACACAACTAAAGCAATTAAAAACAATAAGAACATCCAAAGTATAATTTCAAGCAGCAACCGAGATAACTAATTAACAGTAAAGCAAAGAAATAGGGCCCTTAACACATTCCTAGCCCCAAGTCCCTTATGAAAGGCAAACAGGGTTGGCACCTTTCTAATCTCTGAGGGGAGAATGTTCCAAAAAGTAGGGGCTACAGCATGGAAGGCCCCTCTTCTATTTCCCACCAGAAGATACTCTATGAATTAATTAGTGGGAATCTTGTTTAATTTTTTTCTATTCATTTGAAAACAAGATTCTTTTTCAATAATTAAAAAATTGAAAAAAGATACTATAAAATGGAAACATTAGGAATATTTAGGCTTTGATATTTCTAGAAATAAAGTATCATGTTAGGTAGACGAATCACTTTAATAACATAAAAATGAATTGCTTAATTTCATGAATTATAAATGCTCTTTTCCACTGTTGCTCCTTTGTAACAGGTATTTAAGTCAGTTCTTGTATGAAAAGAATAGGCAGAGGTGGGGGGCAGAGTTTGTTTGTTAAATTTATTTGCTGTCCATCTCGCTGTGGGGCTACTGTGGGAAGCTTACAACAATAAAATGCAAAAAAATTGATAAAGAATGTAAACATAACAAGAACAAATGAATAAAATAATAAAAATAAACAAAGGAAGTACAATAATATAAAATTAAAAAGACAGGCAAAGGGAGAGCAGGAAATGCAGGGGAGAGGTAGGGTCAGCTAATTAGTCCAGTAGCCATCGCTAGTGACATACTCCCCTATTGGGTTCCCAGGCCAACCCGCAAAGCCAGGTCCTTGTGGAAGGATAGGTGGGTGGGACAAACCTTATCCCAGAGGGCAGGAAGTTCCAGAGAGCTGGTGCTACAGCAGAAAATGCTCTTCTCCTAGATCTTGTCAATTGGAGTTCCTTGACCAACAGGATCCTCAACAGGCCTCCTGCCAACACAGGTAGGGCAAGCTTATCTCAGCAAGATGAGACAGCTCATCAGGTAATCTGGATCTATGCTATGGAGAGCTTTAAAGGTCATAACCAACACCCTGAATTGCATTCAGAAACAAAGCAGCAGCCAGTGTAGGTCACACAGCAATGGCATAACATGGGTCACTCAACTGGCCCCACAGTTTGTTCATGCTGCTACACTCTGTACCAGTGGAAGCTTCCAAATAGATTTCAAGACTAGCCCCGTGTAAAGTGCATTTCAGTAATTCAGATAAGAGATGATTAGGGCTTGAATGACTGAGCACAAAGAGTCCTGATCCAGGAAAGACTGCAGCTGGTACACCAACCAAAGCTGTACAAAGGCTGTCGTGACCACCACCTGAACTTAGAGCAGAAAATGCAAGCTCAGGAGAACCTCTAAATTGTGAACAGAGTCTGAATGGGATAGGACAACTCCATTCATCCAAAGCCATTCAGACTTGCCAGGGTTCAGTTGTTGTCCTCCATTCAGGTCCCAGCCCTTCAGACACCATGAGAGGATAGTGACCTCATTACTTAGGTCACAAGATGTGGAAATCTAAAGCGTCAATATCAGTGTATTGATGATATCTCAACCCATGTTGACAGAGGATCTCACTCAGCAAATTCATGTAGATGTTAAATAGGAGTGGAGAGAGCACTAAGCCCTGCAGTACAACATAAGAGAGCAGTCGGGCTGGATCTCTCACTCTCTATCAACATCAATTGGTAGTGGCCTTGGAAAAAGGAACTAAACTAGTACAGAACTGTGCCACTCCATCCTAAACTCTGTAGCTGGACCAAAAGGATACCATGGTCGATGGTCTTGAATGCTGCTAAGAGATAAAAGAGAATCAGGATAGTTGCACGACCACCATCCCACCCTCACTAGAGATCAGCCATAAGTATGACCAATGCAGTGTCTGTCCCACAGCTGGGCTTGAAACCAGATTTAAAAGAATCTAGAAAATCTGTTTCATCTAAGATCCTCTGAAGCTGCCAACTACCTTTTCTACCACAGAATTTAGGAGGGATTTGATTTGGACCATTTTGGGGGATATAACAACTAAGCTTATGATGCACTTAACTCTCTCACCCAGCATTGGGCTCTTCTCCTAGAGCCATCTTAGCTTCTTGAGGTAGACAGTGGCCTTAATATTAGTAATAATTGATAATCAATATACTTATCTAGTTTCTTTTTCAGATTCTCTAAACTAGAATACATCATCACATCTGTTGGTAGTTAATTTTACAGTCTAGCATTGTACACAATATGTTCTTTTTACTGCTTATGCCTAGTTTCACTTGATTAGCTAATGTTCTGTTATTCTATTCATAATTTCTGACATGTGTGCTGTATTGGTTCACTTTTTTTCCAATATAACATTAACAATTCCTTCCCCACATATTTACATTTTGAATCCAGTAGTGAGTAGAATAACAGATAGGAATAATACCTACCATACTAATGAAAAGAACATTGAGTACTATTGGTCACTACTGCCATTAGTGGATTTAATTGACCTAAAAAGGAATCACAGAGAAAAAGGTGGAAAAACAAATACTAAAACTATTCAATTATAGTTGGTTCCTTCTATGTGTTCCCCTTATCAAGCATGCATCAATATTAAATTAGAAGTTATATGGGCTGAAAAATATTTTGATGTTCAGAGGAGTGGAAGGAGTAACCTTTTCTCAGTTTGGGCCCTGTTTTAATACAGAGAGCACATGGATCCCTCAACTCGGAAATGTCGGCGACACGCATGTATGGCTGTTTGCTGCCTGGGGTTATAGCAGATGACTTCTCCAACAACTATGGCCAATCCTGAGGTCTAACCTCCAGTGAAACATTAATATGCTCTGTCATTTCCCCCCTGCAGTGGTGGTTTGCTACCGGTTCAGTGGGTGATTGAGCACGCGCCCCTAACGCACCAATCAGCTGAGAGGACGAAGAAACGAAAAGCTAGGAACAACCTCCTATCTGCCCATGCACTTGTCGCTTCTTTTATCCTCTCAGCTGATCATCAGAGGAACCTCTTGGGCCAACTGGTAGTGCTTTTTACTACCGGTTTGGCTGAACCAGTAGCATACCACCACTGATTTGGACCCATTTCCCACAGAAAAGAAAACACTGAGAGCCACAAAATCTGGGTGGGCGTAGCCAACTCAATATCATTCCCACTCAGTCACATGATACCCCCCCAGCCATGCCTACTCAGGTTTTGTGCCTTCCGGTGTTCTCTCCGCTTCCTCTCCCTCCCATTTCTTATTTTTCTCTTTTTCCTCTCCCTCTCTCCTTTTCTTTCTTTCCTTTCTTTCTCCTCTTCTCATTTGTTTCCCCCTTCCCCCTTCTCTCTCATTTGTTTCTCTCTTTTTCCTTTCTTTCATTCTCCATCATTTTCTCATTTGTCTTTCCCTTTTTCTTCCCTTTTCTCTCTCATTTCTCTCTTTTTCTCTTCCTCTCATTTCTGTTTTTTCTCTTTTTCCTCTCTCTTTCTTTCTCTCCCCCTTTTCTCTCATTTGTTTCCCTCTATTTCCCTCTCTCTCATTCTCTCCCTCCAGCTCTCTCTCATTTCTCTTCCTCTACCCATTCTCTCTCATTTGTTTCTTTCTCTTTTTCCTCACTCATTCTCTCCCTCCATCATTTTCTCATTTGTGTCTCTCTCTGTGTCTCTTTCTCCTAATTTCTCTCTGTCTGTCTGTCTGTCTCTCTTTCTCTCACATTTCTACAAGTGAAGATACCCCCTCTTGCGCCCAAGCAGGCTTTAAATGTCACATGGGGGACTTTCACCACCCGGAAGCTTTTCAATCAGTGTCACTGGTGGCACCACTCAGCTGGAGGAGTAAAGAAGCTCAGGGCAGTGGGAAAGTGCTGGCCCCGTCAAACCTTGCATGCCCACCCTGGGAATCAGACTCAGAGAAAACCGCAGCGCCCTCACCAAAGATGCTCACCCATCAGCCGGTCAACCCGCCCACTCTGCACACCTTCGCTGTGCTTTAGCCGAGCCCGGCTGCTCACTTGAGGAAGGTATCCCGGATCGTGCATGTCCTCCCGCCCCCGCAACATCCAGTTAGGGGGTCACAGGAGAAGGAGGGTGATCTTTGGGGAAACTGCCACCATGGCTCATGCTCATTCCTCAGCTGCAGACCTGCTCCCCTTTCTGTCATACCTTCCTCCCAGATCCCATTCCCACCCCGCCAGCCCTCATATTAGTGAGGTTGGCATCGGCCATGGCTGGGTTGGGCCAGTGTCTCGTGGCAGAGATCAGGTTGCGTGACTGGGTTGGCAGGGAGCCTCAGGAGAGGGATCAAAAAGCCACATGTGGCTCTGAAGCCATGAGTTGCCAACACCCAGCCTAGACACGAGAGGGTGTGTTAGCTGCCCATACTGTTTACCCAGTCCCACAATCCCTTCATCACGGCAGCAATCACCTTCCTAACTAGTTCAATCAGGTAATTTGTCCCCACTCCCATTCATGACAATCTTCTGTCAGATACTAATTGGAAAATCCAAAGCATTTCCAGGCAGGTTGCAGACTCACTGGACCAGGCACATACTGTACCAATAAATAACTATATTCCAAATAAAAAGCAAGAAAACAAAGCAAAATAAAAAGCAAGAAAACCAGTGTTGGGACTCCCCAACTATTCCAAGTCATCAGGGACAAAAAGGGGAACAGAAAAACTAGACTGTTCCCCATTTCTCCTATCAGAATTCTTTCTGAGTCCTTGGTTGAGCCGCTAAGGCCAGAGTTGAAAAGTTAATTGAAGCAAAGAGGTTGGTTTCATTGGTTGTCATAACACAGTATATTTGTCCTTGTCTTGGTTATTATTCAGTTGGTTTTATGATCAACCATCTGTATCACTAATATCCCTATCCTGCACCTGTAGGGTTTTCACATAGATCTCTGTGTACTCCTTTAAAAACATCATAAGCTTAAAGTGTACCTCAGCTAAAAGGTAACTCCATTACTTTGTAAGATCCTTCCAGAATGTTCCACTGTAGAACTGTCTGCTTCTGCTGTAAGAAAATGGTAGACTGAATTTATATACACATCACATTTTCATATCCCTTGCACTTTCTGGTTTGTCATTCCAAAAATTGGAAGGAAATATCTTTTCATTCCAGAAGCAACTTCAAAGCCTTTTTCAATTCTGTTTCCAGAGTGAATGGAAGACCACTGCTATAGAAAAGGGTGATAATAATATACTGCTTTTTATTGGAATATTGATCTTTTCATGTTGAGTATTTAGCAATATAAAAAGCCTTTCCTACAAAATTGATATTGTCTCAGTTTATTGGTCTACAGCTTCCATAACTCTGAAGTTTATGTTTGGCCGATAACCATTTGGAGAAGCCTAAATTAAGAGAACTGTATCGATAAAAAATTTAATAGGTCATTGCATCAACATATAGCAATAGGATTTCAGTTTCATCTATGGCAAATTTGATCTGTTTGTTTTATTTATAAATGTGTTTTTAAAAATCCGTCATTTTTTCTTTTAGATACCGCAGTGAAAAGGTGACAATCAGTTATGCAGAATACATGGCTTCACGACAGCATTGTTTTCAAAATGGCACTCTCCATGCCCCACCCCTCTACAATCATTACTCCTGACACAAAGCTGCATGACCAGTCCCGCCCCCCAGCTGCCAGCTACGACATCATTGGAGCGGATGCCTCCTCTTCCTGGTCCAGTTACTTCTATTACTGCACCATTTTATGATGCTAGCTTCCGTTGCCAAGTCTGCCTTCCAGTTGATTATGGGTGGTGGGGGCTACCAAGTGAGTGCAACTGAATTTCAGAGGCCCAAGCTTACTTCATTTTTCAGAATGAGGGTTCATTTGGACTGAGTACCTGGGACCATTGCCGTTGGATAGAAAGAAACTTGAGGAATGGCAGTACCACTTCAGATTGCTCTGTCTCTGTGTTAAATTGCACTGTGTTCATTTGAATTGTTAATTACAATGCCCCCTGATCAAGTAGGAGATTTCTTCTGGCAGTCTGGCAACGGAGTCCAACAAAAGATTTTTAGATTATTTGTATTTTCTTTTTTTTTTAATCTCTAATATTTATCTACCATAAGCTAAGTAGTCCTAACATGTCCCAAGCAAACATGTTATGACTTGTTATAAGGATGGTATGTCTGGAAGTTCTCCTCCTTGCAGAAGATGGCAATTAATCAAAGATTTAAAAGGTAAAATAAAATTTACTGCAGATAAAATGCATTGCCTATTCATATCCGGAAGGTTTCAATTTATACACCTAGCTACTTTTATTTTTGACACAAAAAGAAAGTAACTTACTAGATAAGATACTGCATGCAAGAAGGCAAACCACTATGGGTTGTGTATGGAAGTAGCCTAGGTTTCCTTATATTCCAGAAGTGTAATCTTTGGGGTTTTTTGGATGTCTTACTTAAAGTTCAGGTAGTAGGATTTGCAAATGAATTGCAGCAGATTTTTCCCCACAAAGCTATCCTTATTGTAATAAAAAGAGTGTGGATTTTTGTTATTGAAAATTTTCCATGAGACCTGTGTTTTTCACAGGCAGCGAGTTTTTTTGCTAGTGTGACACTAGTAGGTAATAAAACACATTAAATGTTAGCTGAAGTGGGTTATCAGATCTGCATGTGTTCTTGCTGCACTGATGCTTCAGCCCTAAATAATATACAGTAATTGGAGGTAAACAAATTATTTTAAATTAATTGCTTCCAGTTAAGTTGTATTTAGAATTGGAACCTAAACAATGTTATTTACCTACCAAAAAAATTTAACCGGGATCCAGGTTTTAATATCCTGTAGATTTTCAAGTTTTCTATTGTTAATTGAATATGCAGGACACTGAATAGTAAACGAAAAACTTTTCAAAATATTCACTATCTCAATTTTCCTGTGTGAGTCATTAAATGTTATCATAAGAACAATATCCCCAAAGTTAATTTATAGAATGGTAGCATTAATCTTCTAAATGAAATAAAATACAGGATTTCTGAAAAAAAATGATAATCATCTTGAAAAAGAGGAACAATCAGATGATGATAATGACAGTATGATACCATATTGCACTATATGGAACAAGTTGCTTTTGTAAAAGAAACCAAAAAAGTATCTAGAAATTCCATTTGAATACAGGATAAAAAAAATCTTCCTCACTTTTGAACAAATTAACCTTATCATGGTGAAACAGAAGAGTAAATGCAATCTCAAAGCAAAGCCCCTAAGGCCAAGCAGATGCCCCATTCTTAGAAAGAAGTATAAGTAATCATGAATTGCTTATATATTGAGGTAAACATTATTTGTCAACACTTTAACTGCTGTCTGGAAAACGGCAAATGTATATTACCTTCTTTGCAACAGGCCTACTTCAGAGAACCTAGGATTCGTTCAAACTGCATTATTTTTCTAACACTCTTCACATATTTCAGGAAAAAAAAAATCATATAGTTTATTTAATACTTGTAGAAGGGAGGGGTAAAAGAAGAATACACACTAGTCATGCCCAATATTGTTACAGCTTTTAATTTTGCACTGGAATTATTCATTTGGATTACTACTTTTTCCCCTTCTGATTATGCTGAAATATATATGAAGGGACTTTTTCAGTTTCCTATTGTAAGAGTAAATTAGCCTATTTACAAATTAAAGTGAATTGTTACTACTCTTACGGTGCCCTCAACAGAAAAGAAACTGTAGAACGGGAGGGGAAAGTTAAGCTCCGGTCATGCCATCCATCTCTGCTCTCAGACAGAATTGAACTATAGGGCTACACAAATTACTATTAGTGTTCTATGTTAGAATTTCAATTGTAAAGATTTTTTTTAAGCAAAAAGGAAAAAAATGGTGCTAAACTTTCACCCCGAGCACATTTGGTAAGACTGGTCATGCAAGCATATAGTGCCGTACCAATATTGTATTTTTTTTTTAAGAAAATGTTTGCCCTGTTACATGTAATCAGCAGTGTATAGCATTAACTATTTTGTTTTAATGAGTGTAGGAGAGCTAAGGAGTTAGATGGGGGCCTTAATATTTAAAGAACAGACTTTTAAGAGTGGCAACTTATTTGGTTTAATTTTATTATTATAATGAAATAAGTCAAAATAGTTTTGGAGTGAGAACTGGTCCCATTCCATGCCCCTGTTTCCATCTAATTCCCTAATCCATAGTAATGGAAATGCCTCTGTTAAAGTTGGATTCTGATTTTCTTTTAGTAAGTAAAATAGCAACAGGCAACAGAGCACACAGAACAGTAAGATAAATGGATATAATTACATTGATCACAAACAGAATTCAGTCACAGTATGGTATGTCAATGCTATAGAATGAGTTGATCATGGATCTATATATTATATACATAGTAGTGATGTACTGTGATGAGCCCAAAACTAATAAACACAGAAAAGATATGGAAACCAACAAAAAAGCCAGAAGAGCGCTGTCTTTTCAAGAGTCCTAAATGTTGTATTTTCCATCTGGTTAAATAGTGATGTAATTGTACAGCGAATTTAGCAATAGTATTCTGGTATGATTGGGAAATGGCTCATCCTTAGCTACAAGCAAGTGCCTTTTGGTCTAGAAGAATTTATTTTAAGTGGTTGAGAATCTCCTTTGTTGCAGCCTAGGAATTCTTAAGGATTTTTTTTTTAGTTCCCATCCCTTCCAAGTAACAGCAGAGGATATCATTAATCATCAGAGGTTCACTGCTTTTAATATTTTTCAAGAGATTTTCTTTTCATAATAAATAGCCATCTCAATAGAGGCATTTCAATTCAAATGATGTTACAGTCAACATGTTACATCTACCTTTTCTGAATATTATTTTTAATTGCATATTTTAACCTTCCACATTTTAAATTTTGCACATGACCCTTTTCCCTACTCATTTTAACATTGCAGTCTTCTTGACTGAGTGCTATTTTGTACCTTTTCCCCAATTCTAAAATGAATAATGCTTTGGTTAATTTAAGTTGTTCCTTTTAAAGAACCTCTTTAAACCTTCAGTGAAGAGATGTTAGACCAATTCTTTGTTATTACACTTGGTTGCCTCCTAGCTATATAACTTCTGAGTGTAAATCATTGAACTTTACCCTCTAATGAAGTATTGTAGAAAATAAATTGTAGTGGATACATTTTTATCTTGTCCCTTTTTTATTGGAGTCTGTCCATTTTGACTTTTCACACAGAAATCTAATAATACAAATTCTCTTTCTAAAAAAAATTAATTGAACTCTAAGATGATGGCAAAACCAGCACGAAATGGGTGGGAATCTTTAACAGTACTGTGTTTTACAAGATAAAGTCTCAGAAAGAATGAGATTGGACATTTTGTTAAAAAAATAAAATAAAGCCTTCATGTTCGTTTGGCTGTGGTATTTTGTCTTGTGATCCATATAGAATATTGACTAATAGACCTTGTATGTTTTTTCCCTTTTATAAACAAGAATTGAGATTATTATTCCAGCAATACCAGTATCAATTAAAATTATTTTGAAAATAAGTCACAAATAAGTAAAGTTTGTCTTGCCTTTCTAGTTTATCTAATAAAACATTTTACATCAAATTAGAATATGAAATGTTCGAGGCATCTCCCTTAGGAAAGCTCAAAATTGTAGAAAAGAAATGATGAGAGACATCCCTGGCATCAGTGAATTACACTGGACAGACAGTAGTCAATTTAAATCAGATGAATTTATGGTTTATTTTTCTAGAAACGATCTCAGATGAAAAGGAATTGCATTCTGCATAAGCAAACTAGTGACTAAATGTGTTAAGAATCACAGAGCACACAGTGATTGCATAATATCTATCCAAATTCAAAGCAAGCCACTCAACATCACCATACTACAAATCTATGTTCTAACTATAGACTCAAATGTTGATGAGATTGAACCTTTTACAATGAGTGTCAATGTGCTCTCATGCAAACACCAAAAAGGATCTTTTGCATATTATGGCAATTTCAATGCAAAAGTAGGCCACGGATAAATCGCAAAAATAGTAGGCAAGTTTGGGGTAGGTGAACATATTGAAACTGACAATTGCCTAGTGCAATTTTGCCAGGAAAATCATTTCAGAGTAATGAACATATGGTTTATTCAACAGAAGCAATTTTTATACACATGGACAGCACCAAATGGACAACATTGAAGTCAGATAGACTTCATTTTATGCCAACAACGCTAGAAAGGTTCAGTTGCATCCATTAAGGTACTTCCTGCCCCTGATTACAGCTCAGACCATCAGCTGCTAGTGGCTAAACTAGCTCAAGCTATAAAAATATACTACCGGTATCCCCACCCAGCCCAGAATTCAATGTGGACCACATTTGGGACAATCAGATCATATGTCAATGCTTTTAGCCCCAGCATAAATCCCTCTTAGGAGACGGGCTCTGCCTATAATAAAGACAGTGAAATCTTGGCCAGAAGATGCTTCCCAACAACTTCAGGATTGTTTTGAGAGCACAAATTGGCACATCTTTTACCACCCAGACCTAGAAGAGCACACTGCAACTCTTCTGTGCTATATCAAACACTGTACAGATACTATCACTGTGGATAAACGTATTAGGATCTATCCCAATCAGAAACCCTGGATGACCAAGGAAGTCCAGCGAGGCGCATGACAGGACCAAGGCCTTTAGGTCCGGTGATGGGGCAAGATACAGTGTTGCCAGAGCTAATTTGAAGAAAGGTATTCGGAAGGCCAAGACTGATTGTAAGAGGAAGATTGAGGATAATTTTTATAGCAATAACGTGAGGCAGGTGTGGCAAGGGATTCAACAAATTACAAACCATCAACCAACCAATGTCATCTCTGCTGAGGGGGATGCTTCATTGGCAGAGGAACTGAATCATTTCTTTGCTCGATTTGAAGTGGAGACAACAGAGACAGATAAAATACAACTACCAGCCAATTGTAGCCCCCACCTCATTGTGGAAGAACAGGAGGTGAGTGCTTAAAGACTGTGCTGATCAGTAGGCTGGAATCTTTACCAGGGTCTTCAATCGGTCTTTATCCCAGTCCACTATTCCATCTTGTTTGAAGGCTGCCACCATTGTTCCACTGCCAAAGAAGTTCACTATCAATAACCTCAACGATTACAGACCAGTGGCACTCACTCCTATCATTATGAAGTGCTTTGAGAAATTGGTCTGCCGGCACATCATTTCTGGTCTTCTGCATACGTTTGATAAACACCAGTTTACATACAGAAAAAAACAGATCTACAGAGGACGCTATAGCCATCACTCTTCACACTGCTCTGACTCATCTAGAACAGGGGGGAGGGCTATGTGAGGATGCTTTTTGTGGATTTTAGTTCTGCGTTTAACACAAGTCTTCCACACAGACTAGTGTCTAAACTTCTGGACCTTGGCCTTTCTAATTCAATCTGCCTTTGGATTATGGATTTCCTGTCTGGCTGCTCACAGAGGGTCAGATTAGGTAATCATACCTCTTCAGCCCTTATTCTTAACACTGGTACACCACAGGTTCGCATGTTGAGTCCCTTACTCTATATTATTTATGTACATGACTGCAATCCAACTCATGCTAGTAATACTATTGCTAAATTTGCAGATGATACAACAGTAGTGGGACTTATCTCCGGGGGCGCGGGGAATGAGTCTACCTACCGAGATGAAGTGGACCGGTTGCTTTCGTGGTGTGGAGACAGTAACTTGGTCCTCAACACCAATAAGACCAAGGAGCTTATAGAAGGAACAGATCAGACATCCAGCCCTTGCTTATCAATGGAGACTGAGTGGAGCAAGTGGCCAGTTTTAAGTTTCTAAGTGTTACCCTAAAAGAGGACCTGATCTGGGGTGCTCACATTGCAGCACTGGTCAAAAGGGCCCAGCAGAGATTATACTACCTGAGACTTCTCAGAAAACAACAACTGAATGAAAAACTGCTGGTGACCTTCTACCGCTGCACCATAGAGAGCATTTTAACATACTGCACCTCTGTATGGTTTGTCAATTGCACATTGGCAGATAGGAAAGCACTCCAGAGGGTTAATGTCATTGCCCAGAAGATCATTGGTTGCCCTCTCCTCTCTTTGGAAGAGCTTTATAGCTCCCGCTGCCTTAAGAAAGTTCAAAACATTCTCAAAGATCCATCTCATTCTGGGAACCCTTTTTTTGAATTATTACCATCTGGCAGACAGTACAGAATAATAAAAAACAAGGACAAATAGGCTGAAAAACAGCTTCTATCCCAGGGCAGTAACATCATGGAAACTTCTAGAAAACATGTCATGCCAAAAACCACAGAGAACAAACAAGATCTGATATCTGATGGCACTATCAAAATAGCTAATCAGTGTAGGGTAGCCAAAGCAAAAGATAATAAAGATGAAATTAAAAGGTGAATGCAATTTTCCAAGTGAAGCCCAGTGTTGGAAGAAATGTCCATCTGGGTTCAGTTCCAAGGGGGGAAAAAGATACTGGAAACATGGAGACTGCTTGGAAGGATGGTTTAATGGTGAAGCAGAAGTACCAAGCACGTGTGTTTCTGGGTAGCTGAATACATAGAGTGGAGATATCTATATATCTATATCTATATCTATATATCTATCTGTCTGTCTGTCTGTCTGTCTATCTACACTCTCTCTTGGGCCTTGCCCTAGAACAATGGTGGCTAAATTTTTCAGCACTCAGTGCTGAAATGGGAGTGTGTGTGCATGTGAGCCAGCTGGTCTTCGCATGTACAGGAGTGCCGGAAACCGGAACAGCAGCTCTCTGATGTGTGCATGCGGGAGTGCTGGAACTGGAAGCTTAGCTTCCTGGCACACACATGCGCGCCAGTCAATTGGTTTTTCGGGTTCTAACGCGCATGCGCACCGGAACCCAGAAGAGCAATGGGGAACAGCTGACGTGCCCAGAGAGATGGCTCTCCGTGCCACTTCTGGTACGTGTGGCATAGGTTCACCATCATGGCCCTAGAACTTCCTGTTCCTGTGCAAGAAATGTATCTTATTGGTTGTCATACTCCCAGGGGGCTATGCGGGGGTCCAGCTAACCTTGAAAGTCTGTCTGTGTCCCAGGCTCGGTTGAATCTTGCTGGGTGATGATGTAATAAAGAGGCTTGTGTTCTGAAAAGGTGTTGGGCTTTTTTGAATCTGGTCACAAACACATACAATCAAACAATCAAACAATCAAACATGACCCCTGAAGACAAAACATTAGAAGACAAAGAAATCACCAAAGTTATGGAACGAATTATGGTCGTGACCACAGGTTCTACTGTATGTGTTTTATTGATTATAGAAAAGCTTTTGCTTGTGTAGAACACAATCAGTTATGGGCTTTTTGTGTGGTTTTAGTGTCCCAACCCACCTGATCAGATTTACCAGATCACATACAGTGATCAGGAGGCAACAGTGAGAGCGCTATTGTGACATAAATTAGTTTGAGATCAATTATGGAGTTAGACAGTTATGCATTTTATCACCATGTTTTTTTCAATCGAAATGCTGAAGTGATCATGCAGAAATTAGACCTGGGACTGCCTGATTTGGGCCTGAAGATTGGAGGAAGAACCATAAATACTGTAATTTGAGTATGCAGATGACACAACACTATTGGCTGAAAATAAGGATGACAGAATGATACAGAAAATTAGAATCACAGAGCTGGAAGAGACCTTGGAGGTCTTTTAGTCCAACTCCCTTGCTCAGGCAGAAATCCCTATATCCTCCCCTTTCAATTGGAGATTATCAGGCAGGAATTATATTGTGAGGCTTCCTGGCGAGGAAAGCAAATCACGTGCATTGAACTGAGCCCTCTAGCAGATGCTAGAAAGCTAAACTTGCATGCAATAAAAATTATTTACAACCTGGGAGGAGGAAGGGAGGAGGCAAGAAAAGCAATTTTCAAAGCAGGTTTCAGTCACCTTAACCTACAGGAAAAGGAAAGGTGTTCTGAAAAGTTTATTGTGAATAATTTTCATGGCAAACTACATAATGATGGGGACTATCAAACCTGCAAAAAAAATCAGAACATCTATTTATTACATTTAGACCACCACCCTATATCCATTAACTTCGGAATAAATCATCCTGAAAGCCACGATATCAATTTGAAAAAAAGATTTACAAGGATTTGGTAATTAGCCAACGAATAACCCTAAAGTAGCCTAGTAATCTTTTCTTTTGTGCTGACTTTTTTCTTGTCATCCTCTCCCACGTTCTAGTCTCCCTTTACTGATAGAATAAGATAAATAAAGAAGTAGGGCAGAGCTCACATGTCTTTTATTAATTTAAAAAACTAAATGTCACTGAACTAAAACTTTCAAATCCTGACTTCTCTTGTGAGAAAGGTGCGTGTATTTCACGGAGCACATCAGCTAATTTATTTCGGACAAGCGCGCGCTTTACGATACAAGCGAATTGCTCTCAGCACTACGCCCCGTTTTTCCCTCCCTCTCTCTTTGGCCAACGTCATGGAAGCGTTTTGTCCTGTCTCCTCCAGGGGGCGTCGGTGG